TCACAGTGCTGCAAATTCTCCATACTTCACCTTGGGCTGCAAATTCTCCATACTTCACCTTGGGCTGCAAATTCTCCATACTTCACCTTGGGCTGCAAATTCTCCATACTTCACCTTTTCGTCCTTCGCAGCCCTCAATAATTGACATCCCCTCAACCCCAGTCGTTCGTGGCTTATCATTTGTCTTTCTAGGGTGCCTGAATTCCTCTGTTTCCTGGGGAGGGGAACGCTGACATAGATTCCTGTTTGTGCTCTTCTCATTTCTAGGATAACATAGACACGTGTCCCAGAGCCTTGCCTCCGAAACAGACATTGGAACACTGTGTTCATCTCTGCATCTCTTCTATTCAAACAAATGGATCATTAATTTGGATCATAGCATTTTCAGGAGTAAAGTGGATCTGTGGGAGAGCACTTAAAATTAACGTTCAGAATTAGTGTTGGTGAATCTATTTTCTTCCAACCAAAATTTATGCATCAGGAGACCAATTGCAGGTCATGGCAGGGCGTGGGGCTGGCTTCTCCAGCTTTTGCACTTTGGTGCTGACACTGATGTTTGAATTTTATCTCAATGCGCTCATGCATGTTGCCCAACTTGGAGTCTTTGCCTTAACAATCTCGTGAATATGTACTTGACTATAGCGCCGAAGCAGAGCAGAAAAGAGAAATCTAGCCACAGTATCCAGAGCAAACCTAATATTCAGAGAGTCTTTCAAATGTTTTGTAATTAGGCCAAATAGATTAGGGAGGGAAAGGGCATTTGTGGCTTGACTCTTTGCTATATAGAAGCCATCTTGAGTTCACGGGGAAGCTTCTCAAACTCGCTTTCCCTAGTGGCATCTTTTTTTTCTTTTCAATGAAAACACAATGGGGAAGGCTTTATTATTAATAATAAATAAGCGGAACCATTTTCTTCCCTTGTATGGGCATCTAGCCTCTGCCAGAAGCCACCCAGGGACAAAAGGGAAAATTCCAACACTTTCAGGTCTGCCCTCACGTAGCCTAAGGAGAGGTTGGCTCATGCCCTCTGCACCATAACAGGCAAGATTGTGCCTTCCTTCCCCAGGACTGCCTATAGGAATTTGTATGGCCCCTGAGAGTTGAATAAGGGGTTTAAACAGGCAGTGGAATGGTTGCAGCTTGGAGTAGAGCCCACTATGAGTTGAAAAGATTCCCCAGCTGTGTTTTACTAGCCCTGAGCCCAGCTGCAGCAGTGTACAGTGGACTGTTTCTTAAGCCCTGTGTGTATATGTACATGTTCACATCGATGCATATGAGGGCATGACTTTGAGGCAGTTGGGAGGTCCTGAGCCTTAGAGATGAATTAATTTTCTTTGTGAGACAGGCCTGAATATCTGTAGATGCGGGGTAAATACATCACACTTCTCCGTTCATTAGATTATAGAGATCCCCGGCATGAATACAAATATCTGGGGTATCGAAAGGAAATCATAGCATGGGTGTTTGTGTCCGAGCAGGCAGAGGCATGGAAACAAAGAAAGAACGAATTCAGTTAGGTCAAGAACTGTCAGCCCATATTGAGGACCAAAGCAATGAAGTTTAAAGTAGATTCAAGATAAGTGTGTGGAAGGACTTCTCTCAGGCTTGCGGTAACAGAGTCATGTGTGAACTCATGGGAGAACAGATTCTTACAAATATATGCTGAGTTTTCATTTAATGTTATTCTTTAGGGGACCTATTTTTTTCTGAAATGAAAGGTGAATTTCAAAGTGTGGTATAGAAAGAAAGCAAGATTCTTTTAAAGAAATGGACTGTATTAATAACCAATAAGATCAGAAGCCCAATCAGAAAGCAGGGTTAGAGCCAAGGAAATATGCTCTGCACTTTTGCTAGGCAGAGTTTGTCTGGTCCCCATTGTGTTAGCCAGGGTTCTCCGTGGAGCAGAATTGATATAATAATATCCCAGGGGTGCCCTACAGAGTTATCAGCTTTCAGTCCCCATTCCAAAGAGTGGGTTCTAATGCCAGCAAAGGGATGTCCCAGGATAGATGAACTTGCCAGTGAGAATGGGGGAACAGACAGCCATCACAAACGGAAGGCCTCATCAGCAACCACAATGGGCACCAAGCACCATCCCTCCAGAAAGAGACCAGCCCTCCATCCCCAAGTGACGCTTTTTGGTGGACGGTTACCTCCTGTCCTCATGGCCCAGCCCTGGCAGTAACACGTGAGGTTTCTGAGCATCACACTGAATGGTTGTCACCTTCTGGGACAGCACTTGAACACAGCCCTTCCCAGGTCATAGGCTCAATCTTTTCCTCTCCGTTCGCTGTCTTTCCCACTCACTGGTCTGTGTCAACTTAAGAGCTTCTAGGATACTACTATCCTTTGTGGGGGTCACCCACTTCCTGGTTGAAACTGAATGTGAAAAAGAATTTCAGGACTAAAAAGCAAACAACTAAGAAGAGAAGAAGATGGCAAGTCCAAAAATGACCAAATGTCTCTATGTCCTCAAAAAACCTGGACAGGATGGAGGAGGAAGAATCCGGAAGGCGGGGCTGTGCCTAGAAAGATGCGTCAGCCTAATTGTCCACAATTTTCTCCGTATTCATTACTCTCATTCACAAGAGGAATATTATTTTCATGACATTATTCTGAAGATGGCCTTGTTTTTATTTTTATTTAAATACAAGAAACAGACCCAAATAATGTCACCGTAAGCCTGACTGAAGTTAAGCCATCCTCTTTTCCGAGGGAGAGCAAGATCGAGTCTGTGTTCAGCGGGGCTAATCATTGTGTGCCATGTCCCCAGAGCATGAAAGCCGCAGCCAGAGAGTGGCTGAAGCCCCCTTGTCCTCGCTTTCACAGAGGGGTCACATCTGTGGTTTGCGCTGGGCCACAGCCCCTTGGCAACAGCGTTTCCACGATGAAAGGAGAGCACTCAGCCGGTGAGGATTTACAGATCTGCTCAAGGTCAAAAGTAGCAGTGCCATGCAGCAAGCTTCCTGCGTACCCCGGGTGCAGGCAAAGGCTCATCTGTTTGTAAAGGTACGCTAGGCAGCCCGAGAGCGCCCGTTAAGATCTGTTTGGAGAGAACTCGGGGAATTAAAGTGAAATAGAAGATGTAGGCCCTTCCTCTTAGGAGTGTGAAGTCTAATGGAGGGAATAAAATGCGGAGGCAAGAAAATGGGACAGTTACAAATGAAAATAGATAGGAACATTTACAGGAGAGCAGCAGAAACATGCAAAGACATTCACCGCTAATTGGACACGTACAGAGATATATACGGCTTGTGCTAAGGCAGCCCGGGAGTGTGAGAGGAAGAATCTGTGACGGTTTCACCTCGCAGTGTGTGCGGAGCGGGAGGAATTTAGAATGCTGCTCCAGCCTTAGACCAGACGGCTGATGCAAACTCCGTCTCATCTACGGTCCCGGGCCCTCAATCTGGCATAGAGAAAAACTACCAACAGCAAAGAACACGGTGCGGAAGAGTCAAAAGAATGTGAAAGAGTCCAGCCATGGTAAAAAACACCCCTACAGTTCCAGCACTGGCCATACAGAGTAAGCCACTCTATTAAAAGCCATGGAGGACCGACCAGCAGCTCACTGCCCAGCAAGGAAGACCATCCATTGTTCTGTCCAGTCTCTACCTTGATGTATGAGGAGGGCCCAGACGACAGACACGTGGACGTGTGTGTGTGTGTGTGTGTGTGTGCGTGTGCGTGCGTGTGTGCGTGCGTGCGTGTGTGTGTGTGTGCGTGCGTGCGTGTGTGTGTGCGTGTGCGTGCGTGTGTGTGTGCGTGCGTGTGCGTGCGTGTGTGCGTGCGTGCGTGTGTGTGCGTGTGTGCGTGCGTGCGTGTGTGTGTGTGTGTGTGTGTGTGTGTGAAAGATGTGGCGCAGCTTGACTTTATGAATTTACTTTTTAAAAAATGGTACTGGGGAAGAGGTAAGCTCAGGGCTTGTACCTATTTTTTTTTTTTTTTTAGCTTCAAGTCTATATAACACAGTGGTGTGAGATAGCTCATGACCCCATTCCAAAAGCTTCTGCTAAGTTTCGCTGGTACCTGCTGGCCTTTCATAATTTGGATTGTAGTAACTAAAACAGGCCTGCACTGTCTAAAAGTATTATCTGATGTGTGTCCAAGCCCATGTGCCTAAAGGACTGCCTAGTTCTTCCTTCTCTGATGCCATTTCTTGAAAAGTCAATTATTTTAAACTACAAATGGACAAAATTAATGTTAACTGTAATCAGAAAGAGATGGGTAGAAATAATTGCTTATGAATTCTTGAAACATGGCCCCGTCAACATTCCCCTTTAAAGGTTTTTACTTTAAAAATTATGGCCTTGTTTTCTTTCATGATGCTTGCATTTCAGAAAATGACTTCTACTCAGTAGTCTTTTCTTGGTCTGGGACAGCGGGAGGTAAGAGAACTTGCTCCAGCAGTGAATGGAGACTTGGCAGCTTGCCTTTCACAAAAGTGAAAGATTACAATTGACATTAGAAATAATGACTTACAAAACACTATTAGCGGGAATCCTGGAGATCACTGATAAGAGGATTCTAATTCGCACAGACTCTCGTTCTCATCATTGTCAGCCTCCAACCCAGCCTAGGTGAGAGGCTTGAGATCAAGTCAGGGCCCTCCATCACCATTCAGGGGACCTCCTCCGTAGACTCACTACCAGAAAGCAGCCCCGAGTCCTTGTAATTTCCCTCATAATTAATTTTTGAGCGAACGGTTTATAAGTGGATTCTCGAGAGGTTAATGCTTCCGAGAGAAGGGGGAAGTAGCTATTAAAAACGGGACAATCACAACTCACCACAGGAACATTTGCCAATGTAACATTTCGGCCCAAGGTAATAATATTGAGCTGTGGATTACTGCGTTTAGTGTGGCTACGGCTATCCGCTATTAATTTGAAGGAAATTATTTCCTAATTAGGATTGCCACCCATCTAGAGCCCGAGGTTGAAAAGCAGGAAAGAAAAAAAAAAAAGAATGCTGTGCACTTGCTACATCATTGTTTCTATTTTTAGTGTTCACGGTGGGCCTAAAGCAGCTGTAAGAAAATGAGACCAGCAAGCTTAACATGTAAGTATGACCCTGGTTTATTTAAATGTGGATGATAGATTTTATAGTCATTCAGGTGTTAGTCAGCACGCGTCTCTGGCCTGAGTCTTGTGTGCTATGTAGACAACAGCAAACTCAGGAAGGACAGAGCTTTGCTCCAGGGCTTTCAGTGGTTAAATGGGGGGGGGGGCTCCGGCCCTATGAGGTCCTCACTAACTGTGGTAGCCCCTACAGGGAGAGGGAGAGGATACTGGGGAAGACCGTAGACCTTGGTGTGGAAGACCCAAAGCCCGTATGTATCCCTGACGAACTGCAGACAATGATGTCTAGAAGCTTTGATTTCCACCCTCGTGTCAAGCAGATGATTGCTATCACCGTTGTTCATTCTGAATGATGACAGTAAGGGGTCAGTGGCAGTGTTAGGGCAAGTGAATGGACGGAGTGGCCTGATGGAGTAGTTACTCTTCTTGTTGCCATGATAAAAGCCCCACCAGGAGGCAACTTAAAGGGAGAGAGGCTTGTTTTGGATTCCATTTGAAGGGAATGCAGTCTACCACGGCAGGGAGGGTATGGCAACAGGGACAGGAGGCAGCTGCTCTCACTGTTTTAGCAGTCAGGAAGCAGGGAGCAGATAAAAGTGGGGCCAGTTCATAAAATCTCAAGGCCCACCTTAGTGGCACACTACTTAAAAGTTCCAGAACTTTCCAAAGAAGTGCCACTAACTGGACACCAAGCATTCAAACATGAACCCATGAGAAGGATGTTGTTTGAACCCATGAGAAGGATGTTGCACGGTGGAAATCACAAGTTACTTTGTCGCTAATATTTGTGCAGGCATGAGAAACAGACTCGAAAAGTCTTTTGCTAGCTTGATGGCAAGCAACAGCAAGCCAGCTGGGAATCTTTTCATACCGGGGACGAGGTGGGTGGGGATAAGACAGCCCAAGACCCTCTTGGGGTCCTCCCTTTTGCTCGGACTCACCGCCTAAAGTTCGCACAAGCATAAATTCATCTCACAGTTCTGTAAGGCTAGTGAGAAGGCTGACTCCGGGCACTGCCTAATCCACATAACGAAATCGTGTTCTTGGGCTTTTTGTTCTCTGAACTTTCGGGTGCCATTGCACTCTTTGGTGGCCTCAACGTTGGCTGGCTTCAGTTGCAGCTGTCCGCATGTCCACGTCCGCAGGCTGCAGTTTGCTTTCCATGGGATAAGTATAATGACCACAGGGACAGGTGATGTGTGCTGACCTCTGCTCCAGATGGCTGTCTGAGGTATGCGCTATGCGAGCGTCGGTGCCTCCAGTCACCGTCTCAATTGCGTTCACTTTAAAATGAAGAAGCCGACTACTCAGCCCCCTCCCACAGTCCTTCAGCTACATACTTAGGCGATTGGGGTTGGGTGAGAGCTAAATTTTACACTCTTAGTTTCTCCGATGAGTTCTCCCTACAAGTCCCTGTTATGAACAGGTCTGATCGGGTTCATTGTCCTTTTTCTGACTGGTCAGGGTCAGCCACTCGATGGCAAACACACAGGGTGGCTTACGTCAGTGACGACAACACCTCGGGAACTTGGGTTATGATCAGTCCATGGAGAGCACACCGCTAACAATGAGGAGTGGCACTTACCAGAAGGGAGGGTTAAGAAGAAAGGATGCTAGGCAGCAAACGTTCCTTGGGAAGGAGATTTACACTTAGGAAGGAAAGCGAAACAGGCACACAAGGGAGGTAATAGGGGCTCAACGTCACTTACGTCATGTTAACAGGCTGCCCCATGTCTATTCGCAGGATGCTTATGTTATGCTTCCTTCTGATGCGAACAGCTCCTCGTACGTTTCCATATGTCCACTTAAGGATCCAGTGGTCTCTCCATCCATTTAACAGACCTACATGTGCCAGTCTGTGTTCACACGGAACCCACAGGCCTATGGAAGGGCTGCTGTTTCAATAAGACAGTGACAAGCAGTGACATTTGGGGGAACTGTGGCTAAGAAAGTCAGAGTGGCATAGGGAGCCGCGACAGAAACTCAGCCCAAGTGAGATGTTGGGGATGTTTTTTGGGGGAATACACTTACTTTGAGACTCAGAGGAAAACAAGGTGTTGGCTTCACAAAAGTGAATGCGAACGGGACTGGAACTTCTGTTTTGTAATATCTACCTTCCTCTTCCCTACCAGTCAGTGAGTAATGGTCCCTATCCTCACGACACTCGTGGGAACTTGGCACTTATCTTGGCTGATTGCCTTACATCTGGTTTGGTAGTGTTGTGTTTTAATGAACCAGGCTCTAGAAGCCCCAAAGTTCCACAAAGGTCAAGAGGTCAGAAGTGAAGACAAGAATGCATGTCTGTTCCTTGAGAAAGGCAAAGAAACTGAGCAGAGAGATTGCTGGGCCTCCTTTCCCTCATCCAGACAGACCAGCCCTGCTTTACTCTTTACACTGGAAACCAGAGTTGTGTATCATCGGCGGGCGGGCAAGTTTCCTCTACTTAAAAACAACCTCCAGAGAGCCCTCAGGTAGGATATCAATACGTTGTATAGAGTTGCTTTATTGTGTCTGATCGTCTTTGCTGCGAATATGCTAAGGGTCAGGTTCTTGGCTGATGGCACAAGCACTCTGTGGCACACTCCCTATGAGAAAGCTTAGGTTTGGTATGCATGTGTTAAAGTGCAATGCTGTTTGCAAGAATGAAGCCCTAGATAGGACTGTCAGAATGCAGTGAGGGAGATATGGAAGGATTCTGGCGCACACATTTGGAAGGAAAGGTGGACTTGGTTTCCAGGAGCGGAGGACCAAAGGTGTTGAGTCGTCAGTCTCCCCTCCAACCTCAGGACTTGCCACCCCCTACCTGGAGCAACCCCCCCCCCCCCCCCGTGACCTGTGTATGATCAGTTTCTTCACTCACTCAATCTTCTAAGAGTCCTGCCTTATAGCCAGGTGGTGGTGATGCATGGCTTTAATCCCAGAACTTAGGACATAGAGCAGCCGCTGTTCTTCGTGTGTTTGGCAACAGGCTGCACACTGGCTCTGCCTTTAATTGGCGTCTGAAACCTGTGGAAATTCTGTGCCACTTCTCAGAATGCACGCTGTCCAAAGGCTCTTGTCAGTTTTTAAACCACTTTCTCTTTTGTTTTTTCCTATATGGGGTTCCCCCCCCCTTGGGACATGACACCTTATGTTGAGACCTAGCTTCAATCTCTTAACTGACAGACATTACCGAGTACGTCAGGAGTGGAGCCACGTAAGCCACACCTATAGTAACAATCCGTAGTACGGACTTGTCAATACTGCACAGCTCACGAAGGCCTATTCAAAAGTAGGAGAAATAAAGATAAAGAATACAAAGTCCCAAGTGCAGGGTAGGTGCTCAAATCCAGATCACGTTCTATGATTCTAGAAGATTCTAAGGTATACCAGAAGGACAAATAATCGTGGCTGGGGGTAAGGACAGTTGTATGGACCAATATGAAGGGGAAAGATTCGTGCTTGGTCTGCGTGAATGGCGACACAGTCACAGATGGCTGTTAGGGCTCCCTGAGAAGCAGAGAGGGACCCTTCCCGGTGTGTGTGACTTGATGGAAGCTGCTGGGCAGTCAGGCTCGAGCTGTAGTTCTCGCTTCTGCCCGTGGGCACAGATGGGAGACTGACTGAGACAGAGGCAGGGTAGTTAAGAGGCTGTGAATTCTGGGAGAGGAGCAGCAGCTGAAACCCCACCTACAAGAGTCAGAGCTGTGAGATGCGCCAGGGATGGGGGCGTTGAGGTAGCACCTGGTATATTGCTCTGGGGATAGGGGATGCTTACGTAGCTGCTCTGGGGTAATGTGCCAGGGAGGAGAGACGCTAAGGTAGCAGCCTGGTGTGCTTTGCTACCAGAATGGCAGGTATTCTAAAAAGTCATTCAGCCATGTTCTCAAGCCCCGACCTAACACGGCTAAATAAGAAGACCCCAAATTCGAGCCACTGTGGAGAAAGTGTGTGTGTGTGTGTGTGTGTGTGTGTGTGTTCAAGCCTCCTCCTATGATTCTTGAAACGAACTGGAGAGTCAGTTTCTAAGAAACTTCAAGGAGATTCTGGTGCCGAAAGCCCACGGGGCCACGTGCTGAGGGTCTCGGGTAAATACTGTAGCAAAAGCTTGACTCTTCTCCATTGTATTCCCATAGCTCCTCAGCTGATTGTCTTCTGCTGATGGCATCTCACTAACCACCTCTCTGAATGTATGGTTTGCGTGTGCCTATGCATTTCCTATGTCCAACTATTAATGTTAAAATTTTATTATTTTGTGTGCATGGGTGTTCCGCCCATGTGTATGTCTGTGTGCCTCATGCATACAGTACCCCTGGAGGCCAGAAGAGGGCGTAGGATCTCCTGCATCAGGATGAAGTTACACAGTTGGGAGCCACCATGTGGGCTCCAACCCAGGTTCGCAGGGAGAGCAGCCAGTGCTCTTGACGGTTGAGCCATTGCTCCAGCTTGCCTGTCAACTTTTGTTCCTTCTCTCTCCTTTGACAACACTGACAGAAAGAAATCTTACTGTTTTTCTGCAATTCATCTCTTTAAAACGGGAGACAGTAGGAGCTGGTTTGAGGTAGGAGATATATATGAAGAAGGGGAGGAACTTATCATATGCCCGTGGGTGAGCACTGCACACCTGTGATGGAGCACTGGAGGAGGTTGCCAAGAAACTGAACAAAAAAAAAAAAATAGAATAAAATAAAGCAAACCAGGAAGCGGTGTTGGAGATAAAAAGTTTACTAACACTAACAGGGAGATAAACTCCCAAGTGGGGGGGGGAGAAAGGGAGGAGAGGGAGGAGGGGGAGGGGGAGGAGGGGAGGGGGAGGGGAGGGGGAGAAGGAAGGGGGATGGGGAGAGGGAGGGGGAGGAGGAGAGGGAGGAGGGGGAGGAGGAGAGGGAGGAAGGGAGAGGGATGGGGAGAGGGAGGGGGAGAGGGGAGAGGAAGGGGAGAGGGAGAGGGAGAGCGCACCCAGGTGCTTGTTCCACAAAAGACTGACTGTGGCTTAATCTGTCCACAGCGGTGCTGGTGGCCAGGGGCAGGCAGGTGGGCAGGAAGCCCCCGGGGTCTAGTGTTCTCCACTCTGCTCCCCTGTGACTACACTGCTTACCTCAGAGAGAGGACCTTAGCAGGTTACAGGCTAGGAGGCACAGGCAGTGATACCACTAGCTTAGCTTGCTTTGTTCTTGCCTGGACACATTCCAAGGGGTAGCTGATTAAGGTGCAGACAGGAGGCAAATTCCCTCAGCAAACAATGCTGATTTGCCCAGCCCCACAGGCAGAGATAAGGTCATCTAGACGTTCTGTTCTCATCCCGCTTAGCCGGCTTCCATTGCAGCTCCTGGTGTGTCCTCAAGCCTGGGAAAGGCGGAGTTTCGGAGACATGGTGGCTGACGTTCACACCTATCTTTCTGAAGGATCACACACCATGGAAACATCAGCTGGAGAAACTGTGATGCTTGCCCATTCCTTCTGGACATTTCCTGTTTTCATCTGAAGCCCAATGGCTTTGTCTTTTCCTCTAAAAGTGTCAGGAGAGAAAGCTTAGCCTGGCCTTTCTCTCTGACAGCTTATGGCTGCAACTCTCCCCTGCCCGGTGCTGACCTCACCTGCGGCTCCCATAACACAGGAGGAAAGGGTGAGCAGAGACGAGAGGGAGAGAGAGCCCAGGCCTCCTCTGGGAAGATGGTGGTGGGACTCCGCGGACATCATGTAGCATCCAGCTTGCTGTAAGCATGATGTCATGTAGCATCCAGCTGCTGTAAGCATGATGTCATGTAGCATCCATTTGTGATAAGCATGTTATATAGCATCCAGCTGCTGTAAGCATGTCCTGTAGCATCCAGCTGTGATAAGGATGTCACGTAGAATCCAGCTGCTGTAAGCATGTCCTGTAGCATCCAGCTGTGATAAGGATGTCACGTAGAATCCAGCTGCTGTAAGCATGCCTGTAGCATCCAGCTGTGATAAGGATGTCATGTAGAATCCAGATGCTATAAGGATGTCATGTAGAATCCAGCTGCTGTAAGCATGTCCTGTAGCATCCAGCTGTGATAAGGATGTCATGTAGAATCCAGATGCTGTAAGGATGTCATGTTAGCATCGTGGCCACAGTATTGACAGCAGTCTTTTCCCTCTCACAGGTATGGAAAAAGCCTTTTTAATGAGATATTTTCTGTGAGACTCTAGTTAACAGGTTTCCCTATGCTAGGATCTCCTTCCTAGAAGTAAGTTTATATCAAAGTGGGCATTGGTGACTACACATCAGAGCCCTACTCCCTTCCCTGATTTATGCGTGGGAGTCAGAAAGCCTGGCTGCACACTCCTGAAGCCTCTCCTATCCCAGAAAAGTCTAAGAACAGAAGCTGCCTCCAGCCAAATGGGCGCTGGGTTCCTCCATTTAGAGCCACTACCATGCTGCCTGCCCCCTTGTGGTGGGGCCTGGAACTGTCTTCAGGGCCCCTGCCATGCAGCTGCCGATTTGTCTATCTGCCATGGCATTAAAAACTTTTATAATAAATCATCACTCCTTACTAATCCATCTCCGAGTGCCTCCTGAATGCCCCCAAGTCATTTTCAGAGACACAGAACTGTGGGCTGTCCTGATAGCCATCAGCACAGCCTTACAATGAGTCATTCTGCTGCCCTCACTTGACACGGTCTGTCACCAACAAGAAAACATTTTAAGGAGTCTGTGGCTAAACAAAAGAGTGTTTTCTACTGTGCAAAGCAACTGGCTCATGGCCAATCATATCCTCCCTCTCTCTGTGAATGCCACGATGAGATAAAACAAGAGGCGTGGGTCTAAAGTAGGGGGTGCCTGCGATCAGCCTGGCTCCCTGCGATCGGCTGGGCTGGGTGCTTTATTTCTAATTCTGAATGGTGGGAGGGGTTATTTACCCTCTGCTGAGTCTCAGTTCCTCGTCTTTAAACGAGGCAGACCACACTGTTGTCTGTATAGGGTCCGTATGTAGGTAATGCTACTATGTTTATGATTCTCAGAACAGTGTCTGTCTCCTGGAAACAGTAAAGTACCTAAAACCACACAAATAAAAACAGCCAGAGTAAGAATCAGGCTGATGGGTAAGTGGGAGATGATGAGATAAAGTTCGGTACTTTGACACATTTTAACTTTGAGAAAAACCGAGGTGGGAAACAGCTGTCAGCAGAGCAGAGACTTCATGTCTTCTACACAGAAGGGCCCCTACCCTGACATAGGCAAAATGGCTGGAAGAGCTCAGGTGCAGGGTGGCAGAGGCTGGGTGGAGAGGTTAGCCATTACCAGCTCCCTGGCTGGAGCTGGCAATGCTAACTAGCTAGGCAGGCTCATAGCTGGCTCAGGGTGCAGAGTGGGAAGCCTGGAAACTATTATTGTGTTTGGTAATGACAGATTCTCCAGGCATGGCATGGAGGACTCCATATCACTGCCTCTGTTGAGACCTGTGGTCAATTCTCCACATTCCCCGAGTTTGAGAGCTCAGTTCTATCCCAA